GACCCTGGAGGGGCAGCGTGGTGCAGGCTCTGCGCCGCGTCAGGGAAAGGCTCCGTCTTTTTTTTTTTTTACTTATTTGTTTTGAGTCCCTTTGCCTTCAGGCGAGGGAGTCCTGGATGTTGCTAAGGGGCTTAAAAATTCCTCCTAGGAGCCCCGAGCTGAAGGAGTGGAAGGAGAGGAAGTCGGGGTGGTTAACCGGGGGAGATTCAAAATTAAAGAGAAAAGCGGAAAAAAAAGAGAAAAATGTGCATGATCTTTACATCCTACGGACTATTTGGCTCTTTCTTTCTACTTGTTTTTGCTTTGGTGCCTGGGATGGCTGATGGGGGACAGCCCCCACGCCTTCCCGGGCTGGCCCCCGCCGCCGACCCCGGGCCCACTTTTCCCGGGAAGGCCGCTGTGCTCCCTAAGGCGGGGGGCTGCCTGCTGTCCTGCTAGCCTTGCTGCTGCTGGGAGGCGAAGGGTCTCCGGGTGGGGGTCCTGCCTTCCCCCCGTCAGCTCTGCTGGGTTCACCGCAGGTGAGGTCCGCGGCTTTCCCGGCAGAGCTGGGTGTTGGAGCGCGGTCGGGATGCCCGCATTTCGCACCTTGCCATCCCTCCATCCTCCCCGCCCTTCGCCCAGAGGGAGCCCGCAAAGCCCCGGCCCGGGCGCAACTGCCGCGGAAGCTGCGACACACGGGCCGGGGCGGGGGGCGAGAGCACCGGGGAGCTGCCGCGGGGGCAGAGCCGCACCGCAAACATGCGGCCGATCGGAGTGTGCCGGCGTTTGCTCCTCGCAATGTTTGCCCCGTGAATCTCTGAATAGTTTTTTAACTACAGCGTGGGTCTTTCCTGCCGCTGAGAAAAATCGCCTTTATTAAAAAAACAAAAACACAAAACCCAAAAAACCAAGCCCCTTTCCACTACGTTAGGATTTAACCACAACATCCACAAAAACTGCCTTATGAAAACCAGACTTTTCTACGAAAAGACTCTTCTGGCAGCAATTAGTCTGTCTTTCTTGAACAAAATTCTTTATAATGTCATTCAGCGGAAAAAAATAATCCCAGGATAATTTTGATTACACAGTTTAAAAAAATTATAAAATTCGCATATTCGGGTTTGCCCTGCAAAGAAAAAAAAGTTTAAATTTCCCATTGATCGAAAAAAACCCCACCTCGCTGAGATTTTGCGAGGGTGGGCTTTCACGGGAAATATACTAGTTCAGTTCCTGTGTGACGGGAGTAGAGGGCATTAACACACACACTCGTTACCGACTTCTTTCAGGGGCTTTGCCTCAGCCTCTCAGCCCCACCTCGGCTGCGGAACGCCAGGCAGGAGTGCTGCTGCCTCCAGTGGGAGGCTCGTGTCTATCCCCACGCAGCTGCGCCCGCCCCTCGGCGGGCAGCGCTCGGTTGGAAGTCGCGTGTCTGCCTGGCGCGCAGGGAGAGGCGCGTCCCTTTCTTCCACACCCCTCCCCGGGAGCTGGCTGTCCCCGCGTGGGTCCCGGCCCCCAGCAGGGCAGAGGAGCTCACCCCGGCTACTGGGCGGCACTCGGCTCGCTCCCTGGCTGCCGCCCCTTGCCCACCGGAGGAGGATGAAGAAGGAGGGGGAGGGGGAGAGAGGGGAAAGAATCTGGCCCCGGGGGGCGGGGGAGGGTTGAGGGTAGCTGCCTACCTGGAAGTCTGTCGCAGATGCTTGGGCAAAGCCAGTCCCTTCGCCTCATCCGCAGGTTTTTGCTACCTTCCCCCCTTCCCTCTCTCCCTCTTTCTCCGTGCTCTGGTGCAAGGTTGCATGTTTTAGCTCAGAGATTCAAACGTTGAACTGCTAAACCAGAGTAGGAAAGGAGTGAGGAAAAAAAAAAAAGGCGTGTTTAGATTTCAGATATTTTAAAAGGTCGGCTTTAATTAGGTTAAATACAACTATTATTGGCCCAGAAGCACATACTGCAATAAGCTCGTAACAAGCCTAATTGCAAAGCAAAAAAAAACCCAACCAACCAAACAACAACAACAACAACAAAACCCAAAGAAAAAAAAAAAAGGAAAAGTGCGTGTGGAGAGAGAAGCCGTACTCTTTCAGCACGACTCACCTCCTGCAGTTTGTGCGTGGGGATGCGCGGCGCCCCATGGCGTGGTTACTGCACATCCCCACGCGGGACGGCCAGGGAAAGCTGCGCTGTGCGTATCCCTCCCCGCCCCGGCCTCCATCCTTTTGGAATGAGTTTTGCATTTCCTCGCCGTGCTTGGCCGGAGTGGGGGGCTGCTTTTGCAGCCGAGCGAGGTGTGTAAGCGGCCGTGCGTGAATGTACTCTGAACTTGCCTTGGAGCCCGGTCCCTCTCGACCCTCCAAAATAGCTCTTCTCCCCAGCTGGTCCTTCTCTCTCAACCCTTTGGCAAAACAACTTGGGGGGGAAGGGGGAACCATTTGCCCTGAATCACAAATTTTCATGGCTTGGAAAGAAAAAGGTAACCCTCATGTCTAGCTCAATTAATAAACATGGTGATTTCACACCCAAAAGGAGGACATTATTTCACGGGAGCACTATCAGCTCCATCACAAAGGGTCACAGCGCAGCTGTGGCGAGCCCGGGGTTATTATGCAGCCTGATGATAGGATCCCGCTTGCCATCCCGGCTCCTTCCTCGGGGCGACCAATAGCCCCCGGCAGGGCTTGTGCCACCTCATGATAAAGGATTTACCCGATGTGTGAGGAAATGGAGCAGCTTTCAGATGAGAGGTAATCAGCTTGCAGGCGCAGCCCCAGCCCCTCGCTTCCCCCCAACCCGTCTCCTGCCTTTCCATTTAACTTTTTTTTTCCCCCTCCTCTCCCCAGACAACAACGGTAAGGAGTTATTATTCATTTAAACGCAAACCTGAAGATCCCTCTCACCTTCACCGGCCCCCTGCGGGGACCAGAGGCGGAAGACCCCCGGTCCCCGCTCCCGGCCAGCCCTCATTGCTGCCAGTGGCAGGAGGAGCTGCCTCCCCGCAAGGAGGGACAGTTGTGGCTGATGGATTTCTGGTGTCAGGAATTGGGTCCAGAAGCTGTGAGGCAACATATTAACTGCGATCCCATAATCTCTTAATCACATTACATTTTAAGTGAGCATGTGTAATTTCACCCATCAATGATTTATTTAAGCAAGGGAGCACAATTACTTGCCTCGCACACAAGCGCTGGCTGGGGGAGTATTGTTTGCCAGAAATAAAATCTGCGGTTTCGGAGACTATCTGTTTCTCCATGCTGAGAAACCCTAGACCCCTCTTCTGAGGACAGGCGTTAGGCGGCTGATCCTTCTACCCAGGCAAGGCGAGGGGGAGGTTTCCTACCCTTTCTATTCATCCCCTTTCCAGATTCAGCCCGGCAGCATTATCTGACTCTGGTGAGGTGAGAAGTGCCTTCAGCTGCCCGGTCCTTCCCCGGTGCTGCCCGCAAGCTCTTGCTGTTGGGGAAGCCAGGGGGATGTTTGCTGGTGTGTGGGGGATCTGACCCTTTTGCACCGTTTTGACTAAAGCAGGTATAAATTATCGAGCCGGTGAGCCGATCTTATACGGGGTCACTCTTCCCGAATCCTACATTAAAGTGGAGGGAAAGTGGAGTAACGTCTCCTGGCACGATGCTGAACACTAGCCTTGGCATTTGACTCCTCTGGCTCTGGCCTGGACACCTCCGGCGCTGTGAAACCCGAAGCCCGCCCCGCATTTCGGCACGCCAGTCTCCTTCGCCCTGGCTGCCCTCCTGCACCGGGCCTATCCTTTAAAGTTGCTCCGTTTCAGCGGGAGGTCAGCATTTGCCATCCTCTCTTCTTTTCGGCCCGAGGGCCAAACTTGCCACTGAACCCGCTTTCCCGGCTGCGGGGCGACATCCCCGCCACCTCCTGCCCAGGGACGGCAGCCGCCGGTGGGCAGACGTCCCTCTGTTCGCGGAGAGGGTGGGCGGGACCGCAGGCGACCCCACAGGCTCCCTCAGACCGCCCCCTGGCTCCAGGGCCCCCGGTCCCGCCGTGCAGCTTGGCCCCAGCACCAGGCTGGAAACACCTCCACAGCTTTATTGTTATTATCATTATTGGTATTGCTATCACCCCCCTGACAGATCGCTCTGTGATGGGCGGTCGAACCCCGTGCCCGCGGCGAGGAGGAAAAGCCACCCGAAAAACGCGTGGGGCTGCCCGTGAGCCGATGTCTTCCTGAAACCGGGCTGGCGTTCTACACGTGCCGGTATCTTTACTAAATAGTCGACGGAAGAAGGTGTCCGAAAGGGAAAATCTCGGCTATAGAGAGAGAAAGAGACCTTCTCTTCTTTCAGTGGCTTTATTTTTTTTTTTTTTATTTTCTTGAGCTGCCTTACTCAGGCATTTGGCAGATTTAACGTTGCAAAGGAAACAAAGAAAAAAAGTAATTACATTTTTGGAAAACAAACAATAATTACACGATACAATCGGTATAACAGTAAGTGAAACACAGCAGCGGGAGTTAAAAACAATATTCTATCCATGGAGATGGGCTCCGCCGCTGACTCAGCGGTTTTGAATACTCCAAATTATCCTTACATCGGATTTCTGTAGCGCAGTTCAGCTGCAGTCTATTGGCTTTTAAATTAAAACATATCTCGCTGATTAGGCACGAGTAGCGTCTAAAAAAAAAAAAAAAACAAAACAAGGAAGCAGGTTTCTCAAGGTAAAAATTATTCTGGTGGATCAGGAATATTTCATGAGCCCCGTTTCCCCATCTGTATGTCAAGCGGAGGAGCAGCGCTTGGAGGGGCAACCCCTGCCTCTCGGTTCCCGATGCCCGGGGCGGGGGCGGGAAGGGAGCAGGAGCGGCTCCCTCGCATCTGAACTGCTGCAGCACCTGTCACCTGGAGAAGTTGTGACTTCACATGCCCCGCGGCTGCGACTTCACGTTGGGGCGCATTATTCCATCACTGAGCCGTGTTGACATAAACATTCCCTCCCCCCCGCGACGTTCTACTCCCCCTCCCCCGGTTTGCCCGACTTTCACACGAGTATTTGGTATGATCTCTAAGGCAGCAGAAAAGTTGTGCATGTGTATTTATTTTTTCTAACTAACATTTTTTTCTATTATTTTTATTTCCAACTGACTCAGTTTTATTTTAATCGAGAGCCCTTAGGACTAGTTGTAACGATATGAATGGTTAAAGTGGGAAGAGCTCAAGGCTCGAGAATACTCTCTCCTCGGAAGAAAATACCAGACATCCCAGAGAAACAGCCGTGCAGAGCGTAGGTCTTATGTAAACGGAAAGAAATCATATGCTGGCGGTGTAATGCGAAGCATACGTGAAATCTAGCATTTGTTCAATCAGACCCTCGTTCTGCTTCCCATTAACTGCCAAATCAAAAAGGGGGAAAAAAAAAGAGAAGAAGAAAAAAAGGAAGAGAGAAGAGAAAAAAAGCCCTGATTGCCGCAAAATTCTGATTCCCACCTCTAAAACTTGTGTATCCCAGTGAAAAGTTTGGAGCTGTGCTGCAGCTCGGTTCTGGTACTGCCCTCAGGACTCCCAAATTCCCAGGCAACGGCCACACAAGCGATGATGACAACAGCAGCAAATACGAGGCTCCTCGCCGCCTGCTCTATTTGAAAGCAAACCCGCTCTCTTTTTCGTCAGGCAACCCCAGACAGAAGTGGCAACTAAAGCTTTAAACCCTTTGGAAATTCCTTTCTGATTTAAGAGAGCCAGGGGGCTTTCGTCCTCTCCCTGCCGTTGGTTGTGAGGAAGGGCAACAAAAGAGGTAAAATGCCTTCTCCAACTAACTGGCTCAGCGTTTCACATGCATCAAAGGGAAAGCAAGAGCTAATCCGAAAATGACCACTTTAATGTACACGAACCCATGGCTACGGCAGTAGAACGGAGGGGGATTTTGAACTCTCCACCACGACAAAACCCTACACTTAATGTCATAATAACAGATATTAACAAAGGGGAATGAAGGGATCTCACGCTGGGTTTTCTGCATTCTTGAGTCTAATTAAAAATATACAGAAAAAAGACATAGTTTGGGTCAAAATGGCATGAGAGCCGCCTTGTGCCAGTGAAGAGGCTGCAATTATCAGCTTAGGGGCCAGACCCTAGAGATCTTATTCTCTCTTCAGCTCCACGGGAGCCGAAAGCCAGTGCAGGGGTGAGGGGGACAGATGCACCCGACCAGGGCTGGGAGGGTTTGGAGAAGAGGGCTGAGGGATACCTATCCTCTCCTTTCCCCTTTCCCTAGACTGCAAAGTGGAACTAAAACAAATACAGCAGAGCCCAGCAAGACTTTTTTTTTTTTTTTTTTTGAGGTCAGTTTGACAGCTCATCCATTCAAATGGAGCTGGGGTATTTACTTAGTGTCAGGTTGTGTGACTCTGGCTTCTGCCTCTGGGGCTAGTGCCCCCAGCTGAGAGGGGAATCCTGTGGTGAGCAACAAGTGCCCTGCATGACAATACCCTCCTGGGGAGAAAATACCTCTTGCAGAAGGAACCTTCTCCAAAACTATAGGCCAGAAGCTGGAGCCAGACAAATTCAAATGCAAGATAAGGCACAGGCAAGAGATTAGCCACTTGAATAAGCTACTAGGAGCATCAGCAGTCCCATTCATCCCTGTATTTTGGCAGAGATGTGGATGTCCGCACTGGTAATGTGACTGAGTCTAATCCGAGAGATTGGGCTCAATATAGAGTACAACCTGCAGTATGAGAGAGGTCTGACGAAACCCTTGAAGCTATGACTAATAAATGACTTCAAGACTTCGTGATTTGGTCCCTCGTAAATATCCATGGTGCTATTTTGCTGGTATTGGTGTTTGACTGGTGTTTCTTATATATAACAGTAGGCAAACTGTCTTTTCCTTTGCTCATATGAAAGCTAACCTCTTTTACTCCTTGTTTATTTTGTTTCCAGAGGAGCCAGACTTTGCCAGGTGTCAGGAAGATGAGTCTTTATCGAAGAGTAACCAGCATTGCCACTCTCCATAGGCCCTTTACCACCTTTGAAAGAGACTTTCTTGGTGCCTGCAAGAATCTCGGGCTGCACCCAAGGTATTCCCATCCACCAGTATGGCAAGCAATGGGCAAGGGTTCCTTCAGTCAACACAGTTGAGACCCATGGATGCTACTCCCACCCCAGAGAACGGATATAAATGTGGTGGAAGTCAAAACAGAGAGAGAGGGGAGCAGTGCTTCTCTCATCCCATGGCAGCCACAGGGAGTGAAGTACACCTGAGCTCAGCATCCCATTTATCCCTCCTCAACTGGTCAAATGGACCAATTCAGAGTGACTCATGGTATTGGATTCGATGTATAAAGACATAGCACAGAGCAAGCAGCCCTGACTCTTGCTGCCAGCAAGACATGGGTGACCTGATGGATCTTTCTTAGGCTCTGTCTGTGCTTTGTCCTCAGAAGCTTCAGCTGCCCAGGCCACACTGCCTTAAACTCTGTCTCACATAGAGGAGAAGGGTCTTCCCAGCTTGCCTGGTGAGACCTTCCTAACCTGAGGGCCTTTGCAAGAGGCCCAGGAAACCTTTCCCCATAATTGCAGGGTACTCAGCTCAGGGCTGTATGTGCAGTGCAATTATCGTTTACCAACATGGTGACTCCTACTAACCCTGCAGCACAGCTGCCTCGCTGGAGCTAAAGATTAAGTATTAATTATTGCCTGTAAATCCAAGAGGTCTTCTCCAGGCAACATCAGTAACACTTCTGAGGCTGATTGTATGCTGAGCTTTTGAGGAAAAGCTGTAAGACAGAGGTTTCTACTAACATCACTTCTCAGCCTGTAAAATTGCATAGGGGGGAGAAGAATATTTGGTATTCAAGGGTTTGAGCTGAGGCTTTCCGCCTCCTGTTTTCTTTATGGCTTTTGAGTGACACCTATGAAGTGGCGTTTGAAACATTTATGTGCTGTTTTCAGCAAACACCTGGAGAGCGATCCTACTACACTTGCAGGGAGTACAGGCGGGACAGGAGAGGGAGGGATGCTGCAGCTCATTTTCCCACTTGCAGGTGTAGGTTTGCACCACTTATACCCATAGTGGTGTTTGTCTAGTGCACCCCTGGGATCTGAACCACGATATTTGGCCTTGCAGGGGTGCTCTGCACAGACTCCCTGGAATGAGCACTGCTCTGCATCCCTTCAGGATGTGCAGGTTCCTGCACTGGGCTGATTGAAGATATGCTATGAGGTCTGGCAAGGTGTCCTGATTTTGGCCAGGACTGGGTTCATTTTTTGCAGTAACCGTGAGGGGGCATGGCTAAGGCCTGGATGTTATGCTATGTCACCTCACATCATTGCTGGGGGCAGGGGGAAAGGGACTCCCTCTCTCTTTTGGGGAGAAGGGGGAGAATGTCTTCCTTCTGGTCAGGTAAACATGGTGGACTGAGCAGTCTGGTATTGTTTACTGTCAGGGGCTTTCTGTGTAAATCCTTTCTTTTCTTATACTTTTTGTTATTAATATGGTTGCTCTTACTGTTTGTTTTCTTATCTTATTGCTGTGTCCAGTAAATTGTTCTTATCTCAACCCATGATCTTTAGCTTTTGTGCTCCAATTGGAGGGGAAGGAGGGGAAGCAGAGCATGGTTTTAGTGGGAGTACTAAATTGAAGAATACCATTCCTAAACCACAACATAAGGGAAAAGCTATACTTCAGACAGCCTGCAAACATCCATGTGTTCTGAGGCAGCCCTGATGCCAGGATGATTTCCTTTGTAGGTAGGTAGAGATTTAGGAATTGAGCAGGATGCTACGAGCATGCCCACAGTGCTCTACCTGTGTTCTAAAGACAGGCTTTAAGTGAAGCTCACAACCTAAACAACTCATTTTGGAGAAGCTGAGGTGTGTTTCCTTAGTCCCTTTTGTGTGAGGCACGGTGTGGTGGTGTGAGTGCAGTTCTCATCAGGACGAGTACATTAAAAATAGCAAGACAGATGGATTTGAAAATAAGAGCAATTTAGTGCAACAGCAGCAGCTGAGAGTGAGCAGCAATTCCTTGAAAGAGTGACTTAAGTAACTACCGTGTTGTAAAGCAGTTGGACTCTCGAGAAAAGAACAACAGGAGAAATTTTACTCTAACAATAAAATTGTCATCATCATAACCTTAAAGGAAATGGTAAGTGAGAGCTGGAAGGAGCTTGACCATCTTTCCCAGGCTAATAGAATAATCTGGTTAATTTTGCACATATCTGATTAACATTGTGTCTAATTGTCATGCTGGTTGCAGTTCCATTGCCAGTATAATTTTGAAGCATTTTACTGTGTTTTTTGTAAAAATTGCCCTCATGTGAATCTTGGTTTATACATTACTCACTGGGAAGCATAAATTTTCTTAACCAACACTGTAGACTGTAATTAGCCAAGCCATGAGAATAAATGCTGACAACATTTAGGGCCCAAACTTGTCAACTTTTCATTTTTATTAGTGTGAACACTCAAGACCTTCTGCACGGACACATTTTTAGTGGGGCTGCTCATTCACCTCTTGGCCAGTGTGATGGCTTGGTGTGTGCTGGGATGAGGATGTAGGTGATCTACATCTTGGTGGGGAGACTGGGAACCAGACTGGGATCTGGGAGACTTACACTGTTTTCTGTTACTTCTGTCATAGGAAATAGGTAGGAGGAAGTGGGATCATAACACAGTACACAAGTACTATTCTTTCATTGTCTGTGTGAGAAATATAATAGACTATAAGTAATTAGCACCGGCTCCTGAACTAAGATTGTTCTCAACACATAAGGCTGGCTGCTGTGGATTAAGTTGCAAAATATAACTTACAAGATGTTGACACCTGAGAGTAATGAAAGGCACCATGTTCCTTCTATAATCTACTGTTTGTTCTTCACATTTTTCCAGTATAGAGGTTCTGGGATTACATTTACTGGGCTGTGCCTAGTTCTTCTGTACTGAGAGCAATGGGAAACAGCTAGGTGTCTCTCTGCACTTTCAGGTACTTCAGTGCTTCAAAAATCTGATCCCTTTGTGCCTTGTGTCTATGTCCTTATCTTAAGATCAGCCTAACTGACTTGGAAGCAGGTGAAAATTTTACTAAAAATCCTTGCTGGCCTGTTTCTAAGAATAAGTTAGAAAATAAAGACAAAAAGTGTACTTTAGGTCTGTGCCTTTCAAGTTTACATTTGTCAGGGGAGCAGCTAATAAAGCCATATGGAAAACTAGATTCTGCAGATGATTTATGGGACAGTGTGCACCCCCTGAGTTCAGCAGGACTTGTCACTTTAGGAAAGCCACTCCTAAGCCTTGGTATTTGGAGATCTGGACAAAGAGGTTGAGCTGCCATGGCACTTGTGTCATCCCTCGCACCCTCACTGATAGATCCTTCTCTTTCCATTTTATGGATAAAATTAATGAGAAGGAAAAATTCTCAAGGAAGGGCAGCAAACCCCACAACCCTGCCTATAAATAACACCAAGGTTTGAACCCAAAGTGATGGGAAAGTCACATTTTAAGCTGTGCCTGTGTCCTGGATTCACCCTGTTGAGTGCGAAAGTAGTACTGTCACTTCTGATTCCCTCCTCGCTGTTGCCCAGGCAGTGTCCAGGGTGGGAACAGTTGCATGCATCCACTGCTGCGTTTCTTCCATGGCTGTGTCACATTTCTCCGCCTGCTCCTCAAAGGGGTTGTTTGTCTCTAACTCAATGGCCTCCCCCAGACCCAGTCTCTGGTATTCAACAAGAATCTTGCTGGCAGAACGCAAACTGGCAGCCTTTTCCATAGGGTCCTCTGAGTGACAGACAGACCTGTGGCTCCCCAGCCATTGCCCTTCGTCCTGTCCCTAAACGCCTCCTGTGAACTTCCAGGAAAGGACTCTGAACACAACTGAGCAGTGTGATATGTCTTGGCATCCCTGCCTAGGCCTCTTCAAAATGTGCTTCCCCTTGTTCATAGCAATCAGGCCATTTCTGATGATGGTTCAGCAATGCCTCCCAGGCAAGTGAGGGCACGATCAGTCCTTCTTCTTCAAATTTTGTTCCAAGTGAGTCAGAGAAGTCATCTAGGCAAGGAGAGGCTCTGCAAGCCAGGGGAGAGCAATGGCTTGCAGTGTTCTCATGCCTCTCCCAGCTATGCTCGGAAAGAGAAAATCGCTCCTAGAGCCATTGACCTGGGAGCCTGCTGGGGTGCAAAGTAGCTTGTGGAGCATAATGTGGCCAAGCTCTGTAATTGCTTCTTTTTCCTTTCCACTATGTCTCCCAGGAAATTAGCTAGACGGTCCCACTATCAGGGGGGTCTTGCTACCAGAAAACTTTGCCACTTTTTGGTTTTACCTAAAACTAATTGAAGAATGGGTGCTATCTGTATCTCTATGTGTTGGTCTAGTGTTATATTTCAGTGTCCCTGGCCCTAGGACTTTTGATATCTTCGTTCTAGGAGACTGCTGATGTTAGTCCTTTAGTGAGAAGGGAATTGAAGCACCAAGTTGTTCAAGGAGTTATTCAAGGCCGAACATCCCACCCCACACAGATCTGGAAAGAAATGCAAGCCTCTTGCCTTTCAAATTCTAGCATAAATAATTTTTTTCTGTTTCCTGCTGTAGAGTGGTATAGGGTTTCCAGCGCACTGGAGGAAATAAGCATGGTGTAGACATACAGAATAAAATGAAGATATGAAAGAGTTTGCACTAGGGTGTGACTTTTCTGGAAACAAACTACAAGCCCCTTGTAATTGTTTTTTTTTAGATTACTGGGTGCAAAGGAGGATTTGTTCTGTATCCATGAATAGAAACATGAATAAAATTTGCTTTAACTAAATCCCACTAACATGTCAGTCTTGTGTGCTTGTATTCTTGATATCAGGATGTAGATTACAGATATAAACTCAAGACATGCAGAAGTTAAATATGAGGATATTGCAAATGCAAAAATGTTAGAATAGAGATTTCCCATTCAACTTTTAATTCCTGCATGATATGTGAATTTCTGGTGCCTAAATGGTGGTGGTGGGTTTTCCTTCACTCTGTTTGCCTTTCAAAGATGTAATTTAAATGAAATTGTAGAATCTCCTGTGTTTTATCCCCAGTTCATCCAGT